GCGATATATAGTCTTTTTATCACATATTTTTAAAGTTGTATATTTGAAACACTATGTTGTCCGAAAAATTTACATGAAATTGTTCATATTAAAAAAATTAGAATATCACAAACAACTAAACAAATCAATATCCATTACATACGCCACGACACTGTCCTCGCATCTCCCACATTTTTAGTTTTCGACCACTACAAGGAAGGTAAGTACAACTAAATAAAAATAAAAACGAAAAACAAAAAAAAAAACAGTATATTTATTGAGCAAATAAATAAAACAAACAGGTTAAACTTATAATACATTTGTAATGATTCAAATAATTTTTGTAGCTAGTTGACTAAATACTGGCGCATTTTTTTCTACAAACACGATATGTCATCTTATATTTCAATACAACCTTTCTAAAGTTTTTTTAAGGAGATAATTATTTAACAAAGTGATACGTAATTGTATATTACATAACGTATATGGTAAATAGTCTATTACGCAGGCGGGAGAATGTCCACAAACTAACCCAGCGAGGAAGTCTCGTAATTCTAACGAGTGTATAATGGTCTTACCACACGAGTTGCATTATGTGTTTTTTCAACGTATATTTTAAACTCGTTGTAATAAAAAGGCAAGCATATGAGACTTGATATTAAAAGCTATTACTGAAAGTTGAAAGAAAACAATTTGAAAATTATAACGCCTATAAACTCTTTTAAATGTTAAATTATTCATGCTATATACTTTAAATTATTGGGTAAGGAGTATATCGATATTAAGTTCACAAAACCATCCCATATATAAACTAGCCTTTTAAAATTTGGTGAAACTCGAATTTACATATACCGAATTCATGATGGACTATTCATTTATATATGAGGAGAGAATAAACTAGATTTAATGAATACACTAGATACTGAAGATTATGTTCATCTGCGTTTATCACAGCTAAAACTATCAATTTTCGTGTTAAGACGATAAAGTCAACCCGCAGTCGAACCAAATAGATAACAACTGAAATTAAGCAAGTAGAATAAATATCGTTAGTTTATTATATCTGCTCTCCTTCAGGCCATCCTACAAGGAAAAATATTTGGAAAACGAGGTCCTGGAAAAAGAAGAACATCTTGGTTAAAGAACCTGAAAATCTGGTTCAATACAACATATGTGCAGCTTTTCCGCGCTGCTGAAAATAAGATAAAGGCTGCCATGATGATCGCCAACATTCGTAACGGATAGGCACATCAAGAAGAAGAATTATAATATCTTATCAGCAGCATATTTTGAACACATTATGCAAAATAATTAGTATCGTCTTCTGTAATTACTTAATTGATTTACAAAGCTCAACAGGTCTTCAAGGCCTAGGGCTAAAACACAATTAATAAAATTATTATAATACTTATATATTTCAAAACTCGTATCAACTGGGGTGGCTTCTGGTCAAAACATATTCTTTGTCTACTAAATTTGCTTACTATTCTCCTGCATTAATCCATATTTGTTGCTATTTCTTCTTAACCACCAATTCGCCCTTTTCTATCAAAACATATTTGTCTGAGTCGTCTTTTCCTTTTTCATGATTAAGTCTCATATTAAAATCATCTTTGGCATCCTCTTCCTTTCCATTCTCATCAAGTTCCCCATCCATATCATTCTATGTACTTTAATGAAGCTGATGCTCGGTTCATTATAAAGTTCTTCCAGCTCCCTGTTTGTTCGTCGCATCCAACCTTTCACCGTGTTTTGGCCTCCATATGTAGCTCTGAGCATTTTTCTATTCCATCTTTCCAATTTCTCCGTATTTTTGCTTTTTTCATTGTCCATACTTCACTCTTATACGTCACTGTGGGCCTTATTACTTATATATCCTTAACAACTTTGTTTTCCCCGATACATATTTGGATTTCATCAGTGGTCTTGGCTTTCTATTTTTTTTATTTCCCATCGACAATCTAGCATTCAGTTTCCATTCCTCCTGACCTTTTTCTTCAATAGTAATCCTCAGATAAGTAAAATGGACCACTCTCTCGAAAATATATTCCCTTGATTCATTAGATATGAAAGTAAACTGCCACTCTTCTCTGTACTCTGTATTTTAGAATATCATGTACTTGTACTAGTACATGTACGTGTCCTGGTTTATATCTAGGTCAAAATATTTAGCCTGCTTTTCTTACTTTTTCTTGTTTTCGTTAGAATAGGATGATCATCGCGAAGGCCAGACCAATAGTTTTAACTCGGCTGATTTCTGATTATTGTTTCCAATATCAAATTAAAAAGCACCGTGGATAATGAATCTTCTTGTCTAAGACCTCTATTTACTTCAAAGTCATCCGATGAAAACCCTTCTCATACTACATAATTTGGTGTGCTATTCAGACTCATTTTTACTAACCTAACCAATTTTGCCGGTATGCCAAAGGAGCTCACTACTTCAACAATTTTATTCTTTCTTATTCTATCATACGATTGTTTAAAATCTATGAACAATGCATGAAGGGTTACCTTATATTTATAGCAGGTAGCCCGGATTTCTTTTATTGTAAAAATCTGATCTGTCACTGATCTGTACACTGATTACTGATAGTGTATCATCAGCAAATCTGTTGAGTTTCTTTTTAATTAATACTGAGGGTAAAATCCAAGATAGAAAAGGTGCAGTTATATGAATAATATCTTTCCTCCTTTTTATGGGACTACAGCCCAAAGTCTGTCTTGGTGTCCTGCAATGTCTTCCTAAAAAATAGCGTTACGGTTCAGCTTACCTTAAAGTATATACATCTATCAAACTTTGTGCGTCCGTTGCCTCTTCATTCTCCCATATTTATTGTGGTCTCACTTTTGGTCTTCTGCCCCGAATTTTACTATACAATTTTGGCATATTGTCGTCACCCATGACCAGTCCGTTAAAATCTCTCGAATCTAGTGAATTATGAGTTAGTTGTTTTTTTGAACATGTGGTTAAAGTTCATCGGTATACCTGGATCTCAATCTTCCCTACTTAAAACATTCTACTTTTCTATTATATCTATTATAAAGAAGGAGACAAAGTAGTTAATAAATTTATGTAAGTGAGCACACTAGAGGTACGCGACTACTACATTTCTGATATTACATTTTCTGAAAGAAAAGTTTATGATTTCAAAGACATGGTTTAAACTACCATGTAGATATGGCAATCTCCTCGAAAAGTCTTAATAATATAAATGTTAAAGCAAAACAACAGATATATCGATATTTTAGGTCTATGGAATTAGTTAAAACAAATAATATAATAAATATAGATGAGTTGGTGAATAAACCCAAAAAGTTTAATTAGAACAAAATATAACAGAATAAATGAATGCAATAATTAATAAGCAATTACTGAAGAAATATTTACAATGATACATCGTATATCATACAAGAACATTAAAAAATACAAAGAAATAAATATAGAAACCGGAAAAACATTACTAAGGAAAAGTGGTTAAAAAAAAATGGTAAAAGACAAAGTACTTCAGAAAAAACGTATCAATCACGGCTTCCATAAGATAATAAAGGAAGTAGTCCATTAATACAGAAGTCTATCTTTTGTAGGTATAGTAACAGAAGAAAAAGAAATCTTGAGTGACCAATGCACAAAAATCACTTTTTCCTGATAATCCACAAAACATTACGATGCAACTAGATAGTACGAATAGCGAAACACTTTAGGGTAATAACTACAAAAGGTAATTAAAAATAATTAAAATGGAAAAAGTCGGGCTATATGAGATTGAAACACATTGAGACACATTGAAACACTCAAACTCGTAGAAGGAGAAAATCTGGATTCTTTGTTAGATCCCCAAATATACGAAACTATATAATATAAGTAATATATATATATATAAGTTCATATTTATTTGAGTACCAAAAGGAAAGAACAAAGATGCAGAGAATTCAGACTGATAAGCTTAAACATCAGAACTAGTGCTAATTGAAAATATTATGAGACAAGGCAGTATCCTATCAGCAACACTGATTAATTTATACTTTGGAAGTTGATTAAAATTCCATTTTGAATCTCAAAGCTAATTGTACAATTAACTTAATGGTTAATAATCAATGATAGTTACCCAAATGGTAAAATTCCGCGTCAAAGTATCAGTTTTATGTACCTTCCAGAGACAAAAATGATTATCTTATGGGTGACATTAGCCCTTGTTAGTGATAAAGAACTTATGGTGGAGCTCTGGGAAACCCACGTCTCCATGCTGTTCTGGATATGGACTAAAGGGATTTCCTGCAGACGGAAGAAACACGAAAGGGCGATTAACTCAACATTCAAAATGTAAGGGGACTAAATTTTAGAAAATGCGAGCTATTTGTCCTTATATCAGATATTAAAATTGGAACCTGTAGTTTTTCTAGATCTTTATAACCAAAAGAATCCTTAAATTTATTAAGAAACTTACTGTCTTCTACAGCACAGGACTTCTTTCTGGAGTTTAAGGAAAGGACATTGTTTGATAACAAAGGTCTTATTTTGTTTAGGGTTTTAAGGATTTAAGTTAAGATTTTGACAGAATAATATTGATAACCAAAAAAAAGCCTTCAGTATACTTGTTGATTTTACACAACAATAAGTTTTACATATATCCAGATTTCACAGTCACAAGTTAAGAAACTTTTCATCAATTTTTTCTCTTAAATTGTTTTTAATATTTTTTAAACTTCTTTTCTTTAAATGTGACAATAATTAAATTTACCATTAAATTGTTGTTTTAAATTAAACTCAATTCACGTTTAAAAAATGAAAGTATCTATAAAGTTAACTTAGGTTATGCTTGCCTCTCTATTTTTTGTTAATTAAATATGTCAGTTTTATTTATTTTTTAATCATTTTGCCAAATAACCATCTCCCTAGCTTGTTTAATTAGTCAACAGCAAAACAAAATTATTTAAAAGGTAAAAATAAATGATCACTTCCGTTCGTCAACAAAAATAATCAAAACAAAATATACGGTTAAAAACCGTATACTCTTTTGTCATACTATGGGCTCCTCCCTTTTAAAATTAATATTCTGAGACGCGCAGAAATCTCTAGTGATAGGTAAACAATTAAAATACGAACAGACCTTGCAGTCGTAAACTGGTATGATATAAAATAACAGTACCAGACAGATGAAGAGGATGGATGCGGCAGCTAGGCACACCCATATCAGAAATATCTTTTTGTGTCTGTCGTATTTGCCGAAGGATATGAATGGTAGAAAGGCATAGGATAGAAGAAAGCCGAATACGAAACCAAATAGATGGGCGTAGTTGTCGACCCACGGTAATAAGCCGACAAAAAAGAGCACCAGAGTGATGGAGAGGAGCTTGCACAAGGCTTGGTTGGGATGCTTTAGCATCGGCCATGCGTTCAGCACTTCCACTATCAAACAGGCGAGCAGTCCGAACTGGGAGCCAGAGGGGCCGACCTAAAAAAGAATAAATATATCAATAGAAGCAATGAGAAAAGAAAAATACATGTATGGTAATAGTTTAAGCAACCCAAAATCTGGTTTTTGCGAAAACAGTGATATAACATGATTTTACAAAGTGCGTGTCTAAAGTCTCGTCCCCTAATAAGCTGAACAATAAAATTCAACTTAAAATATTTATAATAATTGACCGAAGTTAATATTTTTTCTAATGTTTAAGTGACATCATTAAAACTGTTGGATAGACGCCATTTTATAAAATAATTTTAAATGGGATCTTACGACAAGTACTACCAGATTTGAAAGCTCGATTCAAGTTCTTTTTTATGGCACCGACACTATTATTAATTTCAGCTCAAAAACCTTAAAATACTCGTTTCAATAATTAGTATAGTGAATCAATTAATTGCCAAATTTTATTTTCTGAATAATAAATCTTAAATTAACTTAACTAAAAGTGATAAGCGCCATTTATAATATACTTTGTAGGTGTCGTCGGAAATATATGAAACGAGCTTTTAAATGAGGTATTCCTTGATATAATATGATCCTTAAATGATTGCACATAATGAGGCTCGTTCGCTCTCGAATATTCAAATTCATTAAATAATAAAATAATAAATAAAAGTTTCTGTAGGAGGGATACTAGGAAAGAGATTTTTTACGTCAAATGAAATTAATCTGGATTTGTTAGATAATTGAAAATGTTGTATACACACGTAAAATACAATAGAACTAGTTAATAAAATACATTACAAATACCTACATTAAGAAAATTATTCTAGTAAAAAACCTTTTAGACCAAATGCAATAATTATATCAGAAATTTTACATCTTCTTGAAGTTTGCATAAACCAGGACTACTTTGAATTTAATAATAAAATATATACAAATAACAGTGCAGGACTTATAATGGGTAATCCTTTAAGCCCATTGCTATCAGATATTTTTATGGATCATCTAGAGACAAAGATTTCAAAACATCCCGTATTCAAACAGTTTTTATATTGGTGGAGATACGTAGCCGACGTACTGGTATGTTTCACAGGAACTAACAGGCAACTCGACCAATTTTTATCGTATATTAATTGACTTCATAGTCATATTGAATTTGCAATAGAAACAGAACAAAATTAATCCATAAATTTTTTAGATTTAAAAATTAGCAGACTTCAAAACAAACATGACTTCTCCATATTTCATAAACCTACAAATACTGACACAACTAGGTATACACAATTCATCATCCCATCCAACACAACATAAACTGGCAGCTTATCATAGTATGTTACATAGATTAATAGAAATTCCGATGTCAAAATACAAATTTGAGACAGAATTAAATATCATCACGCAAATAGCAGTAAACAACGGATACAACGAACAAACAATTAATAAAATGTTAAATCAAAAACTACACAAGAAAGCCCTGAAATTAGTATTTCCACCACCAGAGAAAAAACCCAGTGACTTCTGCTCGATTATATATACAGGCAAAATAACAACAAAAATTGCCAAACACATAAAAAAGAAAGGAATATCACCAGCTTTCCGAACAAATAACAACCTAGGCCAATATATTAAAAATAACAAGAGCCAAAATAAAAAACACTTAAATAGTGGTGTGTACAAACTTCAATGTGGCGACTGCCCAAAAACTTACATCGGCCAAACTGGTAGAAACTTTGATAAACGAATAGCAGAACATAAAAGAGCTTTCAAGAATAGAAAAACAGATTCGACATACGCACTTCACCTTCTAGATCATAATCATTCTTTTAATGACAAATTTAAAATTCTTCACATTCAAAATAAAGGCCTTAAGCTATCTTTGTTAGAATCTATGGAAATCAACAAATTAAAAAACACAGATATAATTCTGAATGTCCAACTTGAGACAAACAGTTCTCCCCTCCTCAACCTATTTCATTAGAGACTATAAATTTGTAAATCCAAGCCAAAAATAGATCACTTGAGAAAGGCAATCAGCCGAAACAGCTGTAGTGATAAGATTTAAAATAAATTTTGTGGAAGTTTGAAAACAAAGTTTTCAGTGTTTTATTGTTGCATATATATATATATATATATATATATATATATATATATATATATATATATATATATATATATATATATATATATCAAGATGACCGAGAAATAGCCAACGAGCTCTTAGACAACATCGATACAGCTAGACGCCCAAAAGAGATAGAGACTGTCGAAAGCCTTGGCTTCAACAAATAAAGCAGACAGGCATAGTCTCTCTGTTGCGAAAACTTGGAGGAGCTAACAAATTAAATTCCAGAGGATAAAATATCTCATAACCAGGTTGCCTCACATCTCTATCTAGAGCTCCATGAGACCGAACACATACTACCAAGGTAAAAAGAGACTTAAAGCTTTAAAAAACGAACAAAATAAGCTCAACGTATTCAGGATTTTCAGAATATTTAGCAATAATTTTTATTTGTGAAATTACACACACACACATGTGCTTATAGGAACACCTGGGTTTGATTGCTTCCATTCTGAGTTCCCTATACACAGTGAATACACGAAACAGTGGCTTGCAATGTTCTACATTGATATACTTCACCCAGGCAACATTCTTTTTTCACTTAAGAGGAGTACAGATTAATGCAACTCCAAAAGCAGGTAAATCAAATGATAAGTTAGACTACCGCCTCATAGTCTTACTCGATACTTGAAAATATCCCCACTGATGAACAAACAGGCTTTCGTCCTCATCGAAACTGTACGGACTAAATATTCATAGATCTAAAAACAGCATATGATACTATTTGTAGACAAGGATTAATATATAAACTGGCCCTTATTATCCCCTAGAGAAAGATAATTAATCTCATTGATACCATGTTGACAAACAAAACCATCCAGGTAATAATCGAAAAGAATATAAGCAAACATATAAACCTTGTTCCACATAACACACCGACAACAAAATAATGGCCTTCCATAAGGTTCTGTGGAAGGTCCCTTTCTTTTTAGCCTCTACATTCCTTAGAAACTATCCTAAGTCCTTAGAAAGTCTTCCAGTCCTTAGAAACTATCGAAAACACTCACGAATGATCTATCCATCCTCGGCGAATACCTTAAGAAATGGAGATTACAATCAGTACTACATAAATTTAAGTATCAACTTTTAATCTTAACAGCAATCAAGCAAACAGAGAAATACGCATCTATCTTAATTACAAACTATTGGAAAAAGAATGCTGTGTTTAAACGATTTCCGAAGTGGAAATTGAAACGTCAATAAACTAACTTTAACCTTTATTTGGGGCTTATTCCCATTTAAATAGTAATTACTTTAAAATGCCACAAGAAAATAGCTTCAGAACAATACAAGTGTTTAAATTTGTCCCAAAGAAGAAAAAAGAGGATATTATACGTTGCTATTTGATTTTAGCGACTGACAATTTAGGTCTTCTTCTTCTTTTTATGAAGACATGACTCTGTCTGTTTTTTAATGTGCCTCCAGTAAGTTGTCGTTCCATTGTTTTCGTTGTCTTCCTACTGATCGTCTTCCTATTGGGGACCCGTTTCTTGTCGTCTTTTGTTGTCATTCGTCCTGTATGAAGGTTCCATTCTACTCTTCTATTTCTTACCCAGTTTTTGATGTTCTCCACCTTGCATCTATGTCGTATATCTGTACTTCTACCTCTGTCCCATAGTGTCTTACCATCAATTTTTCAATGAAGTGTTTTCATCTCTGCTGTTTCTAAAAACCTTTTTGTCATCTCTGTATCAGGTCGTGTTTCTGCCACGTATGTCATTATTGGTCTGATGACTGTTTTGTAAATTCTGCCTTTTACTTCTTTCTCGATATTTTTATTTCTCCATATTATTTAATTCAGGCAACCTGCGGCTCTGTTTGCTCTATTTACTTGATCTTCCACTTCAGTTTCGAGCTTTCCACAGCTAGATAAATGTGATGCCTATATATTTAAACTCCCTTGTTCTATTAGCTAACCTTCCAGTTCCAATTTACATCTCAGTAAATTTGCTGTTATAACCATGCATTTTGCCTTTTTTGGGGAAATTAACATGTTGGTAATTCTTTAGATTTCAACATTTTTTAGTTGCTAGTATATAACTCGAACCCTCATAATCTAGTTACATTATTAATTATTTTATAGCAGGAAATTTTTTTTAATAAGTTTAAAATATAGCCACGTACCCCATCATGTCAAAATAGGTTGAGGAGCCAATGGTATATTATGCAATTTTTTGTATGCTTAAATTCGGACAAGCGCTATCAAAAATATTTAATATAAATTAAAAATTATTAAAAAATCGAAAATGAATATTAAAATAAATTACATCAATATAACAAATTTGCTGGTAAAACTTTATTGGGTCTTTAAAGAAAACTACTAACTATAGTCCTTTTCCATCATATTGATAGCACATTATGTATGCAAATCCTCAACAGGTCAAAAAACCATAGGCGTCACCCTATACTTGTTTTGAAATAAATAAAGAAAAATTAATATTTTAAGATGCCGTCAACAATTCATTATCTTTTAAAAAATCTTCTGTAAAATAAGTGTCCACTAATCTCACTATACCTTTTTTGTGCGTAAAAAACGTCGGTATATATGCCACACGAATATTGTTAATTACACACGGATGATTAACGAGAGAATTCAATGTTTCATGAAATAAATTAATGTAAACAGTAATTTAAAGGTGATTATTGTTTTCTATAAGAGATATCGCCTGACACAAAAAGAATACCTTCTTTGAACGATTACCTGGAATTACTGATAAGGCTTCACTAATGATAGTTTAAGTAGTTTTTATGCCACATTACGGCTTATGTCAATAATATAAATTAGAAATTGCTTGCATCTTCCATTTAGTTTGTAGATGTACATTGTTCATGTCTTACCTACCTACGTTTTTGGTGTCGACATTTTGTTATTTGCATTTAAAAATGACGTCGACAACAGGTTTTATCCCGGGTAAATGTAGTTTTAAAGTTGCCTTCAGTCTAAGAGAGAAAAATATAATATTAAATGTACACGATGCACTTGTACATCCCCGCCTTTAAGTAATGTTCGTGAAATAGTTAACATGTGTTCAAATATGACAGGGGTTGGAGAAGCAACAAATTATAGATTCTTAAACGAAAGAAAAGGAATAACTGTTTCATCTCCCAAGAAGAGTGGAGGGAGAAAACCCTTGGAAATTGAAGAAATACATAAAAACAGGATAAGACACAGCGTCCACTCATTTTTTTTTTAACAAAGAATTTCCAACATTGGACAAAATCCAAACATTAATTAGAGAAAACGAAGAGTTACCAATCATAAGCAACAAGAAATTATGGGGACTATTGAGAGAGATGGGATTTCGTTGGCAAACGAAGAGAAGAAAATCTGTTTTAATTGAAAAATATTACATTGTATGTTGGAGAAATGAAGGTCATACTGTACCATATCTATGGGTTGATACAAATGTGAAAAGTTTCCGTCAGGCATTCATCGAAGGTGTATCTACTGGAATAAACAACATTCCCGATGGAAAAGGACGCAGACTCATAATAACCCATATTGGAAACGAATACGGTTTTGTCAATGGTGGATTATTAAGTTTTACCTCAAAATCAACCAAAGATTACCACGAGGAAATGACTGCTGACGTTTTTGAAGAATATTTTGACCAATGTTGGATTTAATTCCAAAAAATTCTGTCATAGTCATGGATAATGCTAGTTACCATTCAAGACTAGCAGAAACATTGCCAACAACGGCATGGAAAAAAGGAGAGATAATCGAATGGTTGGATAAACACGCAATTGAGTAACAAGGAGAATTCGACAAAAAAGGAATTATCAAAGCTTATAAAAAATATATAATTGATGAAATGGCATTAAACTGTGATGTAATTATTTAACGTTTACCCGCATACCACTCGTATCAACGTTGAGTCACCCGTATCAACAGTTTAGGAATTTGCATACATAATATGCTATCAATATGATGGAAATGGACTATAACATCTTAATCTCAACTTAGTGAAGCGTATTGTATGAATAGTACGAATAATGGATTTTTCCGTTTTGCCCATTGATGAATTAAAGATCTTAATGACGCTTTAACGACCGGAATTACCTGAAATTGTACTACAGCCGAAAAGGAATATAGGATATAGTTTATTAAAATAAGTAAGCTAAGTAAAATATTTGTAAAATAGGCATTTTTTACTAAAAATCAAAAAAGCTAAATGTTTATAAAGCTGACTTTGCTCATAAGTCATCAATGTTGTGATTTTTCTGTCAAAATTGGTCTGCTTTGTAATTTATCTCTTTAATAAATGTTTTATAAAATATACTTACATCTGCACGATAAGGTACAAAAATAGCACTAGCCAGATTGCCGGCCACTCCAGACCCGATATATATTATTCCTATCCTTAAACTGCCAGTCAATTTTTCCAGGTCTCTCATTAAAAAATGTTGTATGAGAACAGTGATGACTAACTGAAGCACTCCAGCATGTAGGAACAGCGATGTCCATAACCTGTAAAACTGGTCAGGCATGTCGGGAAAGTAGAACGGGATCATTCCACAGACGTCGTTTAAGCAAGACACCTGAAAAATAATAATAAGTATAGTAATAATCTATGTAAAAAAATATATATAACTACTAGTTACTGTGCGACAATCTACAATATTAAAAACCAAAACATTTTGATGTAGCGATAGATAAGAAGAATAATCTGCGTGTGAAAACAAAAAAAAATTGTTAAGTATAGAGATCCTGACAAAGTACTAAGAAGTCAATGGAGAGAATGGAAAGTATGCAGATGACACCCATAATTGTTTCAGCTGCGGGTGTCATTACGAAGAGCCTCTTAGAGAGCATTAAAGACGTCCAGATGTGTAAGAAAATTTGTGGAAGGTACTCCAGCATACCAAGTCACTTAAGACTTGATAACACCGTTATGCCTCAATTTTTTAATTACTGAAAGTGTCCTTAAGACACTCCAAGAATTGATTCAATGATTTCTTTGCATTATATTAATTTAGGAATGACATATTTAATAAACCCATTCTCTTCATTCAAGGGGCAAACATTCTCTTCTAAGCCTTTTTAATAAAATATAAACAGAACATATACCAACAGAGTGGCTACTGTCAACATTTGTAATGATACCGAAAAAAATAAATGCCAAACAGTGTAGCGATCATCTCACTATCAATCTGATGAGTCATGTACTGAAAATTTTCCTAAGAATACTACACTCGAGAATTTATAACAAAATAGAAGTACAACTAATTGAAACACAATTTGGTTTCAGAAATAACCTTGGAACCAGAGAAGCACTCTTCAGTTTGCAGGTTATGGTTCAAAGATGTAGGGATGTAGAACAATCAGTATATATGTGTTTTATCGATTTCGAAAAGGCCTTTGACCGAGTAATCCATGACAAACTTATAGGTGGCTTGCAACAGAGACCTCCGTATTATCAAAAATTTGTATTGGCATCAATGTGCAAACATACGAACTGGGACACAACACGACGGAAGCAGTGGAAATACGACGTGGAGTGAGGCAAGGATGTATTCTATCGCCTATACTTTTTAATATCTACTACGAATTTATTTTCAAAGAAGCCTTAGTTGAAGATACAGGCATTAAAATCAACGGAATTAATGTCAACAATCTCAGATATGCAGACGACACGGTACTTATTGCCTCCAATGAAGAAGACCTTCAACGACTTATAAACAGGGTAACCGAAGCATGTGATGAATAGGGGCTAAAATTTACTACTTCTAAGACAAAACTTATGGTTGTCAGCAAAACAGAGTTACAACCGACGAACATCAGAGCGTATGGAATAGAGTTAGAAAGAGTCCACAATATTACACTGGTAACATGGCAGCAATTGAAGAAGTCAAAAAAGAATTAAATAAATTAAACAAAAGTGATTTAATTAGGATAATAATGGAAAAGAAAGTGCCTCCAGACATAAAAACAAGTGATAAAGTGGTAAAGTACGTGGAAAGTGATGAAAGTACCAAGTTTCTTGACGCAACTACTGAAATACCTGATAATTCTATAGCTGACCATGCCGAAGCGGTAAGTCATTTAACATTAAAATACGATCTTAAAATCGCAAACATTCAATTATACGCTTCAAAACGTATTATCAGAGAGCTTGAACGAACGATTAGTAATCAGGATTATATTATAAACTTGCTACAAAACCCAGCAAATTTGGAGGTTACACAATTGCCAAATACAAACAAACAAAGCGGTATTGCCGGTCTTCCTCCAAATTCCGTCACTAAAAATGATGAAAAGAGAATCAAAGGTATACAAGAGACACGTGAAAATATAACAATTACAAATCAGCAATTCTCAAGCGCTTTAACGCAGGCACAACAAAGTTTGAAAATGAATGATATCAACAGTCTTACTCAAAATGTCAATCAACCTATTCGATCAGATGTAAAAGTTGTGGGTAATAACAGCGATAGTGAGGAGCTAGCATCAAAAGACAAAGTGTGGATTTATGCCGAAAAGTATAAACAATCTTATAGTACAGAAAAATTGGAAACATATCTACAAACAAAGTTCCCCGGACATGAGTTCTCGTGCATCTTGTACGCGAACAAGGTAAATGGATCAAATTCCTTCAGAATCACGGCAGATGCAGAATTGAGGGATATTCTTTTTCAACCACAGACGTGGCCGAAGGGCATAGAGGTGAGTGAATATTTTTTCGCAGAAAACATTCCGGCGATAAATCTTCTAGATACATCAACCGAAAAAGACAGAAGTGAAAGTGTTGTATCTTATATTAAACCAAAAACTTTAGCAAACTCTGACCAGATTAGTCTAGTTAATATTTTACATGTAAACACACAAAGTTTATTAAACAAAATAGATCAGCTTAATATTTTTTTGAAAAATAAAAGATACAATATATTATGTTTCTCTGAACACTGGCTCAGAGAAAATGAATTAACAACATTAAAGCTTGATGGGTATTTTTTGTGAACTTTTTATTGTCGGAAGGTAAGGGAACATGGAGGTGTTGTAATTTTTAGCGATAATAAAATCCCTACACGACCAATTTGCTTAAATGATATATCATGTGAATTTGAGGGTGAATTTTGTGCATTAGAAATTATAGATATTAAAACTATTTTAGTAACAGTGTATAGAACCGGAAATGGGAATTTTAAAGTTTTTCTAGAGCTATTTGAAAAGTTATTGGAGTTTTGCTCTGCTAATTTTTTAGAAATAATAATAATTGGAGATTTCAACATTGATTTTAAAAAAGCTTCTAATGAATTAAACAGTTTCCGTGATCTAATTTCTACTTTTGGATTAACCATAAATATTAATGAATTTACTAGAATCACAACTAGATAAGCAACTTGTTTAGATAACATCTTAACGAACATAAGCAGTGAGATAGTTGGTTGTGGAATTGTGGATCCGTGTATTTCTGATCATCATGCACAATTTCTCTACTTAAAAATAAAATCTGAAAAAAAAACATAGTGCTAATCCATACAGAAGACATATAACAAGTAATGGCATCCGGATGTTAAAACAGTCGTTAAACAACGTTGACTGGGCTTCAGTTGTTTCTCTCAAAACAGCAACAGAATTAGCTCAATTTATTACCGAAATGTATGTTAAGTTAACTGAAATTAATTTTCCATTAAAAAAATCACGAACTCATAGTAAAGCTCCAATCTCTTGGTTTGATGATGAATTAATAGAAATGCGAAAAAATCTTTCCACAGTCAAGATAATTGCTGATGTTACAAAGGAATATAGTGAGTATAAAAAATTTAAGAAGCACTATAAATCAACAATATCATTAAAGAAAAAACTGGCTTATGAAAATTTTTTTTCCAATTCTGAAAATATATCTCGTGATAGTTGGAAAGTTATAAATTATCACAGAAATAAATTTCAAAATAAAAAAGTCTGTCCAAGCGCGATTACATCAAACGATTTCAATAATTACTTTACTTCAGTGGCTAAACATATTAGAAGTTCTTTTATTTCTACAAATGAAAATGTAGCCATAGATTTTTTGAAAGATGTACACTCTCCTTGCAACTCTTTATTTTTATTACCTGTTAGTGATACTGAAATCAGGAATTTTTTGCATAGATTGAAAAATTCACATTGCACGGATTTCTATTTCTTAAACAAAAAAATAATTGTGGAAACAATCGATATTATTATTGACAAATTAATTATACTTTATAATAATTGTCTTACTGAGGGGATTTTCCCAGATGTTTTAAAAGTAACAAAAGTACTACCAGTGTTCAAAAAGGGAGCTTTAGATGAAATTGGAAATTACCGTCCTATCTCAATCATTCCCATTTTCGGCAAAATTTTTGAGAGTATTCTAAATGTTCGTTTGGTAGAATATCTAGAAAAACACAAAATACTTCACTGTAACCAATATGGCTTTAGAAAAAAGTGTAGCACTACACTAACTATACAGAAAATTGTGAGAGATATAGTTGATGGCTTGGAGGAAGGTCATTTTGTGTCTTTGACATTGTGTGACTTATCCAAAGCTTTTGACTGTGTTTCGCATGAATTACTGTTGGAAAAAATGCATAAGTACGGTATTAGGGGAAACACTCTTAATCTATTTAGATCATACCTAACAAATAGAAAACAGGCAGTTTTTCTTAATAACAGCTATTCTGAGTTTAACACTGTCGAATATGGTGTACCTCAAGGTTCGATATTAGGACCCACTTTGTTTCTTATTTATCTGAACGATTTATTTCACTACACTTTTCCTATAAAATGTGTTTGCTTCGCAGATGATACAACTCTCATAAATACTGATATTAATCAGAATAATTTAAAAATTAAAATAGATAATGATACCAAGAAAGCAAAAAACTGGTTCTCACATAATGGGCTAATGCTAAATGAAGAGAAAAATCAGAATTTGATTTTTAGTTCTGATTGGAAGTATATCTTAAGAAATAGTGTTAAACTATTAGGAATCTTTATAGACGATAATTTGGATTGGAGTGCTCATATAGATTACTTAAGTTCTAGACTTGCTACAAGTATATTTTTAATACGCAACTTAGTTTATATGATTCCTAAAAATACCCTATTGCTACTTTGCACTATTTCATAGCCATTTACAGTACGGAATAACTGTTTGGGGTAATTCTTCTTACGCAGATCGAATTTTTAAATTACAAAAAAGAGTAGTGAGGATACTAGCAAGAGCAGAGTATAGGGAACACTGTAAACCTTTATTTCTTGATTTAGGTATTATGCCACTACCTTCACTCTATATATATGAGACGCTGATTGAAATTCATGCCAACAAAGGTAAGTTTAACGTAAACTCCAACGTCCATGATCACGATACAAGATCTAGAGATGCTATTAGAGATCAACGTTTTAGGTTGACAAAGAGCGTAAAAAATTCAACTGACGTTAGTTTGTATAACTTTCTGCCAGATGAAGTAAAAAGTCTTCACTTGTTATCATTTAAGCATAAAATCAAATCACACTTTTTGAAACATTGTTTCTATTCAAAAACGGAGTACTTAAGTACAGCTTTTACACAATAGTACTAGTTTGGTCAGGGCAGTTGCCTATTATAATTATATTTCATATTTTTTTATAATTCCACAAAGTGTGTTTGTCGTTTTTTTTTAACTGTTAATATTAAATACATACATGTTTGTAATGTTTAAATTAGCCAAAAAATTTTTATATGTTTTATAAGTATTGTCACTATTCCTTTGACTTGTCAAAAACAAAACTATTTTTGTATATTGATTAAATAAATTCTATTCTTCTATTCTTCTATAATAGAATAGAAGTATACTCTTCTATAGTAAGAATAGAATAAATTCTTCTATTCTTACTTACTTTGTACAAATGTTAACGATAACTGGGATATAAATAAAGAAATCTATAAATTAAAGAACATTCTAATTAATAGAGATATTACGTTAAACCTTAAAATCAGATTAATACGCTGCTACATATTTTCCATATTGCTGTATGGTATGGAGAGCTGGACTCTTACAGAGACATTAATGAAAAAATGAGAGGCCTTTGAGATGTGGATTTATCGACGAGTATTGCGGATAAGTTGGGTTGATCGAATAAGAAATGAAATAGTTTTACATCGAATGGAAAAGAGCACAGAAATAACAAAAACGATAAAAATTCGAAAGTTACAGTATTTCGGTTAAGTAATGAGACATCCAGAGACGTCTAACCTTCTACACCTAATAATACAGGGTAAGATCGCCGGAAGGAGAGGCCCAGGTCGACAAAGAACATCCTGGCTCCGAAATCTCCGAGAATGGTATGAAGAGACCACCTCAAATTTATTTAGAGCCGCCATCAATAAAGTTATTATTGCCAATATGATCGCCAACATTCGATAATCGGACAGGGTACTGAAAGAAGAAGAATAAACCCATTTACACAAAAGTGCCTAAATATCGAGTTTCTAAAAAGAGAATGCCTTGTTGAGTCGAAATGGTTCCCCGTGCGTACTCATAATTAGAGCTAGTCTAGCATAATAGCCATCTGGTATCACAGCTTAGATGAAAATTTAAGTACAAATAGAATATCTCAAATATTACTTAACTTGTGGACCAGTTCTCGAACGAGTCAGTTATACTTGACTGGAAAATTCATTTACTTATATTACTTATCTATTTTTTAATTGTCCCACTAATTTAAATATCTATTTTATTATTGTAGACTTTATCAGCCAATTCTGTTTGCCTTGTTGTCTTGCCGTTGTTTCTGCAACCACAAAGACATTACCTGTCGCCCAATGAACATCGTAAGGTATCTTTAATTTTTGTAATTGGTTAATCCATCGTGTACCCTCCTCGGCGCCTATTTAAAGTACCGAGACTTTACATACAACCGCCACGTGCCTTCTCTATTTTGAAAGCACCTTTGCCTGCTTATCTCGACCAAACCTAGTTAAGTTTTTTATTATAAAAACATTACCGTTTATGGGGATATGAATAATACCGTTCTTAAAGACTTCACTCAGAACGCATTTCCGTAGAAATACATCCAGAAACTGTTATTGACACAAATTCAGTGTATTTTATTTTTTTTTTACGATATTATATTTTCCTTTTTTGTCGGAACAATTAATAGTTGATGTAAAACAGGAAAACAGAAAACAAAATAGATATGTCGTCTTCAGTGCGGTACAGCCAAGTTAGAAAAGAAGCAGTTAACTTGGGAAAGGAGTTCCGGCAGTGGTCCGACAAGGAGTCCGACAGGAGCAATCCGACCAATTTATGTCATTAGAATTAGAAGACCCTGATGGTTTCCAGGGCAACACATACAGTTTTTTAGTTTGTCTCAATCAATATAAATGAGTCAGATTTTAGTTTTCTTTCTTATTTTTATTTGTAGTTATTGTTATTAAAACAGAAATTATATAAAAATATTACTTACTTGTGAACAAAGCGATGCCTCTTCGTGGAATGTCCCTTGAACAAAATCACAGTATTCTTTTGTTGTTATTCTACACTGGCCGTGAATTCCGATGCAACAAGGATGTCCTATGACTTCGCAGACCATATGTTCAGCGAGTTTGTCGCGTGGCCCGTTACTTTTCTGAACCGAGGACTGAGTGTTGGTTTTTCGACAAATCGGCCATTTCGTGATATCGTCCGGCCATTCGTAAGGATGGACGCTGGCGGGAGCGTCACAGAATCTAAAATAAAATTAACGTTAATAATATATGATAATTTGTCAAATATCGTACTAAACCTCTCACGCCGATGTATCATAGTATACTCTAGACAAAACCGGAAAGGCAGCAACAAATAAACAGAACATTCTTAAAATACCTAGAGAGTTTAATAAAGATCTCTATAGCAGCCAAAGACCACAAGACAATTTTCCGACAATAATAAGCAGTCCCATAAATTAGGGATCTGAAGTTCTTTTATTTACCCATTACAGTGTGAAAACTGAGAACATCTTGTTTAGGATGAAGGAAATGAAGAACCATCGGCCATCTAATGATGATGGACTGGTTAATCAGACAATAATAGAAGTAGTTCTACTAGCAGGGGAATCTTACTAAAATCACTAAGCGAACTGTTAAATAAATATAGGTCAAACTGGTAACAGGTGTATGTTCTCAAAAAACTTGATAATGTGCAAATTTTTTTTTATTAAAATCAGCTAAGTACTTTCAGAATATCACATGTCCTCTTGAGAATTTAGTCTTATAGGAGGATAAAAGAGTAATTGTCAACACAAAACACAATAAAAAACATTAAAAGGCCTCTGTTATAAGGGTAAAAACCCTTAGTTGTTTTTCCGTCATTTCAATGAGGCAGCCATTGGTATACCAAGCACCTTTCAAATGAGAACTTTAGAACCATGTCGTATTTATAACCTCTTACGAACAACCTTAATACGAAGCTCTGAAGATGACATGTAACATGCCGAAAGTGCTCAGCTGATTTTAATAAAAAAATTTACACACTATTAACTTTTTTTATTTTTTAAATTTTTTAACGGTTGCAACAAATTGACAAATTGGTGCAGCATACGTTGTAAATCAAAGAAGAATCAAAAGTGCTCATTCTGTCTCCGGCTTCTATACAACATGTAGCTTCTACTTATAAATTTTAAAGTGTTTGTTTGTCTTAGTGTATTGTATTTTGTATTGTTATGTCCAAATTTTAAATTTATGACATTCTACTATGTCGGATAGGCCACAACTGACGAAATGCCCCTGAAGATGATCTATTGATCGAAAGTACTTGGGCTAGATTAAATTAATCACCGTGTTCGATAGTTGCCTTGTATACCCTCAAAGTTTAATTATTCGAACATTCAACCTTATATTAAGATAATTGTTGTTTTCAACTTGTTCTAAGGTATTAAAGTTAATTGTCAGGCTTTCATCATTATATTGGGTTTTAGATATCTTCAGAAATTTAGTTTTCTTGTTGTTTATTGGTAATCCATATTTTTCCCCATACTCAACTATCTTGTTCATTAGTTTTTGAAGGTCTTGAAGGTTGTTTGCTATTATGATAGTATCGTCCGCATATCTAATATTGTTAATAGGTTTTCCATTGACCGTTATTCCTGCTGTTTCTCCCTTAAGAGCACTTTTCAAAATTTCTTCAGAGTATGCATTGAATAGTAGTGGTGACAATACACACCCCTGTCGCACTCCTCTTTTAATTTCGAACCCTTCTAAAGTATGTTCATTAATGCTTATGTGTGCCTGCTGTTTATAATATAGATTTGTTATAATTAGAAGGTCATTGTATTGTAATTGTTTTGCTTTGAGGACTTCCATTAGCTCTGTGGCAGACTTTATCGAGAGCCTAGTTGTAATCTATGAAAGAGACGTACATATCTCGGTTTATATCCAAGCATCTCTGGATTGAATGTACGTTGTATGTACGAATCCAAGTACGTTGAATGTAAAGAGAACTTCACGGGTACCTACGACTCTACGAAATACAAATTAGGTTTCTTCAAAATCCATATCAAGTATTTGGTAAATGCGTTTATGGATGATCTTTAAAAACTTTTTAAGTGTGTGACACATCAGGCCTATGGTGCGGTGATCGGTGCATTCTCTAGCATTTTTCTTTTTTGGGAGACAAATAAATGTTGAGTTCAACCATTCATTGGGTATGCCACTCGACTAATAAATTTCATTAAAGAGCTTTAAGAGGACATCCATGTACTCCTTTTCTATTATTTTGAGGATATCAATAGGCAGTTGACCTGGCCCCGGGCTTTTTATGTTTCTGGTATTCTTTAATGCGTACAATATTTCTTCCTTTGTAATTTCTATACTTGTTTCTCTGTCCTCGAAAGATATGTCTTGTAGGTTTCCTCTTTCGTTGTCGAAGAGCTCTTCCATATATTCTTTCCATCGTTTTAGCTTTTCGTCAGTCGTTATCATAGTATTTCCATTTTTATCTAAAAGAGTTGTGTTGTGGTTTCTTTTTTGCAGTAATGCAATTTATTTAACCTTTTTATGTAGATTGAATAGCTCGTATCTGTTCTGAAGATCTTCTATCTCTATAAAATTTTCTTCATAGTAAGTTTGTTTTGCCTCTCTTATCATTTTTCCGATTTCATTGTTAATGATTTTGTAATTGTGACTGTCTTTGTTCTTGGCTTGTCTTCTTTGGTCCATCCTGTCGAGTATTTTGTCGGTCATGCAGTTGTCTCTCTTTCTTATCGGTTCTTATCATTTAATATCTCTTTGGATGGAACGAGGAGGCACTTGTTTAATTGTAATTTATTAAGGTTTTCGTACATTTTCTGTTGGAGTTTGTTTTTTATATCAGCTTACTTCAGTTTTCTAACATCTAATTTTGGAGTTCTTTGGGGGTTTCTAGTACGTTTAAGTTTAAGCGTGAAATTAGCGATTACTGGTTATGGTCTGATGTGACATCTGCTCCTAGATATGTTTTAACTAATTTGATGGTGTTACGATTTTTATCTTTAATCATTATTTAATTGATTTGATTTCTTACCACTTTTTTAGGTTTATCTGCTGGTGAGCCCCATGTATTTAACCGTCTCATAGGTAATTTAAATAACGTGTTTGTGATAATTAGATTTTGTTCTTCGCAGATCGTATTAAACGATCTCCTCTATCGTTACGTTTCCCTCGTCCTTGACCTCCCATTATTGTTTTAGCTCTTTCCTTGGCGATTTTTCCATTGAAATTGCACACAACTATACATTCACAATAATACCATACAACGAACAAACACTCACAAGGATCTGAAAAAGCAGATCAAAATAAACAGACACAACCAAACACATAAAGTACAAAAACAAATAGGCCTGACATGGATAGAACTTGGCAACCTAAACCATATTCTAATAAGTTCAATTCCCATGTGTCTCAACGAAAGGTTTCTAACCAATGTGTTTTGCCAGCACCAACTTATGGAGCAGAGACTTTAACGCTGACGTAAAAATCCGCAAATAAACTCATAGTTACAACGAGTTATGTAACGTGAAACGCTGAGCCATCGTCTTTCATTTCAAGGGCCCTTTCTGCTTTTTCCTTTCCTCTCCGCTTAAAGTAGCAGCTCATTTTAGTAGAAGGATTTAATTTCATTCTTGTGAAACCAAAAGAAAAGTTACTGGACTCATGTATAGCTGGATTTTACCTTAATGAAGAGTCCAATAAGAGTGTCATAAAGCATAACTAACTTTAGTGGTTTTATTACACCACCATTGAACAAAAAATAAAATGAAAGAGAAACAGTTATATTTATGAAAATAAAACTGTAGTTAACAAATCAACACGTCTAAAAGGCTCCATCGAAAAAGAATCATCAAAGGTCGCACAGCAGTTGATTAGAGTCTATGTAAATCACATGTAAGCGTGAACAAAAATCAATAATAACGCAAACATATTTGGCTTCCGGGTATCAAGCATCTAAGAAAAGACAAATTGACACTGTAAATATAACATTTGGTTTTATTTCTACTTAAAATTTTTTTTTATTATTGCACCTTTTATATGAGAACTATAAATAATATGTGTTAATAGTATTCAATATTTCTCATTGATAATAAAAATGCTTACTTAGGATCCAAACCGCATACTGAACCAGATATCCTGCCCCCAGGACCTGAGTCACCCATTTTCCATTTCTTCCACGTAGAAATTGTTTTCTAAAATAAAAATAATACAACCATTAACAATGATTACAAAAATGTAATACGCTAATTAAAATAGTACTTTGAAAACGATTTTCGAATTGGAAATCGACACGCCAAACATAAGCAAATTAAAATGCTGCATTCAAGTTTTGTCTTTATGGGATTAAAACAAATAAATGTTAATAAGAACGTTCAAAAATTATTTGCAGAAAAACGTGTATTACTTTTTAACTTACCGTTGGCCGTAATCCTCTCAACTTTGGAAGAATTAAAAGAAAAGTATTGTTATAAAAAAAGTTACTGCCGATTTAAATTTATTTATATAATCCAAAATATCAACGTTACAGTAAATGCAAATATTTTATTGAAAACTAAGATAAAACACAAAAATTCGATCGTATTGGATTTAAGCAGATATGTCAGCAGATAATAATAATAGAAACACTCAACCCTTGTCATGCTATGTATTTTTCAAAAATCCTGAGGTTGTCTCTAAAGTTTAGTTTCCTATAATCAAGAATTGATAGTGTTTATAATTTTAGTAGTTTTTTAGTTTTATCTCATTTAATATATCAAAGTATTCAAAATTAGCATACTATTCATAAAAAAAGCGATAGAGAAAATTGTGCCAATTGTGGTACAGTATTGTGCGAATTAATATGAACAGAGATCGAAATTCAGTTTTCATAATTTGGCACACCTCCTGTGCCTATTCTGTCCACTGTTTTGTCACAAAAACAACATAACCTCAAAACCTTATTAGTATATTATTCAAAAAACGTGTTTTGTGTTTTATATCATTATTATATTTTGTTGTATCTCAGGTTATGTGCAAGTTGGTGTTATTTTCATTGATTTAACTGTACAATCAAGTTGAACTTTTTAATATGGATATCACTCCTAGGAAAAGAGAAAGGATTATAATACTTAGTGAGCATACACCAATGACTCAGAGGGTCATTGCAAAGAGGTGTTGTGTAAGTTTGGGTGCAGTAAACAAAATAATTTAACAAAAAAAGGAAACAGGGTCAGTTGAAGTGCAACGGAAAGGAAAATTTGGAAGAAAACGGAAGACTACTCCTCAAGATGAAGATTTTATTTTGCACGATAGCAAACTTTATCCCATAAAAACAAGTTATGACTTCCAGAAAGATTTAGAAAAGGCTGAAAGAAAAATGCATGACTCAACGGTTCGCAGACGTCTCTTAGAAGAAGGGAGAAGAGCTGTGAAACCGCTGAAGAAACAATTTCTGACAGCGCATATGACGAGAAAAGACTAAATTGGCCAAAAAATACGCTCATTGGAGTGCAGAAGATTAGGAGAAAAGTGTGGCCCTGCACTTGCTAGTGCAGGGCCATCGATCAAAATTCGTACGAAAGTTAAAAAAACAGTTAAACATCCCACAAAAAAATGTTCTGAGGCTGTTTTTCATACTCGGTAACTGACACTCTTTTATTCCTATTGAAGGTATGATGAACAGTGAAAAGTATAAAGCCATTCTAGGGTAACGCTTAGCTATAGAGCTTGACAAAGTACAGGCCGAAGGGACTGCAATTTTTCAACAAGATTCAGCTCCGCGCCATGTATCGAAGGTTATAATGAAATACTTCAAGGATAATAATATTACTCTTCTTGATTGGCCTGGGAATTCACCTGACCTTAATCCTATTGAAAATTTTTGGGCAATATGTAAGGCTAAACTGCAAAAATTTTACTGTAGCATAAATACGAAAATCGTGGAAGCAGTGATTAAGGTGTGGTTTAGAGATGAAGCAATCACAAACAATTGCAAAAAACTTGTGGACTAGAAGAAGGAAACCATGCCTAGAAGAGTCCAGGAAGTCATAAAAGTAAAAGGGGACATATTGAATACTAATTAATGAAAACTCTCATGTATGTGTACCTACCTAAATTTACTTTTGGCCTAAATAAATCATATTTACAAATTAATTCGCACAATACTGTATGCCTGTGATCAGTACATTATGTAGAGTTGTTGGAAATAATTTTAAGAACAAATATAAGAAGAACCCACCAATTAGGAAGAGGAGGAGTAGGCTCGGTTTAAAGTCAGAATATCAACTGTCAATCATTTGTTCTACATCACCGATTTTATAGAGATATAAATGGGCTGTCACAGTAGTTTTTGAGCTTCTTTTGGAAGTTTCTAGACAATATTAACATTAATCACAGTCTCATTGAAGCCATGAAAAAGCTATATGATAAAGCCAAAGCAAATATTAAACTAAATGTTAAATCACATAATACTACGTAGTAGTAGTTAATAGAGGATTCTAGTGCTTGATACTAAATATAACTAAAACAGTGAACTAAAAAAATGAATATTCTTAACCTTTTTCAGTCCGCGGATCGCTAGAAAATCAAACGCAATTAATAAAGAGTACAGGAATAAATTTAGAGCAATTTAAGTTCTAAAAAAAACATTTTTATGCAAATTAAAAATATTATATTAATGTTGGTGCTGCTCTTGGCTATTAAATTTGTTATGAGCCGTTGAAAACCAGAGTGGTATAAGTCAAAAATTTCCCGTTACGCGCTTTTTCGGTATATAATTCTGTTTAACAGTGTTCTATTTTGCTATAAAATCTGAAAAATATTAGTGCATCCGTTCACTCACATACGACGCTACTGTAATATATGTCAAATGCTATGAAGTTTAAATTTTTTTATGCCCTTTCACAACCTTAAATGCGTAAATAGCAAAATTTTATTTGCACGTTTGTTTCAGCTGACAAACGTGCGAAGTTGGTATTGGGATCAACTACCAAGCATGTCGGCAGAAAGCGGAATAGTGGCCAAGTAAACACATCAAGAATGTTTGAAAACAAAAAAAAAAAAAGAAAATGTGGAGAACAATATGTTGCTACATCTAATAGGTTGATAAATGCGAAAAAGTTTCATAACAGAGAGTGTACATGCCAGGGCAAACGCAGTCAATACAAATTTCTGGAACATAGCTAATTTTTCCGCACAAAATGCTTTTCTATATGGTATTGTAAAACCAGCCACTCACCCTCTAAGAAATGGTACAAAGCGGCAAAAAGCGGTACCCTACATATATGTTTTAAATACTCCAAATGAGTTTAATGTTGGAGTATTAATGTAATTAATACTCCAGAGTGTGCAAAATGTATTTTTTGCAAACGTTTGCAATAAATAACGGTAGGTTAATGCGTGCATTAAAAAGGGACAGATATCATTTCCTGGTGAAGATCTACGAGGTAAACACACACCTAGCAATAAAACTGCTGAAGCAAATATACAGCTAGTACACGATCACATAAACAGCTTTCCCTCGTATGAATCTCATTATACACGTGCTCATAATCCTAATAGGAAGTTTTAAGATGCACAGCTCAATGTACGTACAATGTATAACTTGTATAAAGAAAACTGTATAGCAGATAACGCTATTCCTGTGCAAGAAAGTGTATACAGACAAATTTTCCATCGCGACTTTAATATTCACTTTCACGTACCATTACGAGATACATGTGTTAAGTGTGACACATACAAAAATCAGGTGAGCCAGAAAAAAGAAGAAAATACAAAGAAAGTGCTTCAATCACAACACGAACTGCATTTAAGGCCTGGTGAAAAGACTAGAGAGGCTTTGAAAAAAGCTAAAATTACAAGCATGCGTGAAAAAGGATGCGTCTATGGATTCACGTTTGATTTGAAAAAAGCCTTACCGTTTCCAACTTTCACTTGCTCCGTAGCCTACTATAAAAGAAACATGTATGTTTACAATTTGGGCATTGACGAGTTTAGCGACGAAGAGAAGGTGTTTTTCTATGCCTGGGATGAAACTACAGCCTCTCGAGGAACACAAGAAATAGGATATTGTACTCGAAAGCATGTTCTAGAACAAGCAAAGGACGCAAGGCACATAACTGCATTTAGTGATGCATGTGGCGGACAGAATAGGAACATTAAATAATGTTTGTTTTGGTTGAAACTGATTGTAGATTCCGATAATTAAGAAATAGTAGACCATAAGCTTATGGTATCCGGACATTCCTTTCTTCCGAATGATCGCGATTTTGGCGTACTCGAACAATACACAAAGAATAGAGTGAAGTATGTTCCGACGACTGGTATAGAGTGTTTGAGAAGTGTCGCACAAAGAAACCGTATCGTGTTTGCAAGATGGACAGAAATAATTTTGTATCGTCACAAAACCTGAAAGCAGCTGTTACCAAACGAATAAAAAATGAAGATAACGCACCAGTATCGTGGCTGAAAATTCAATAGCTACTATTTCGAAAAAGTGACCACTATAAAATATTTTATAAAGAAACACTGGATGAGGAGTTTCCTTTTGATGCCATAAGCTTGCAACCTGTACATGTAAAGACTGTATGAAGCTCCTATACCAGTTACTACTAAGAAAAAGAATGACGTGGAAGATCTTTTGGCATTTATACCGACCATTCATCACGACTTCTCCAAAAATTTATCAGTACATGGATGCAACACAGTAAAAGTAGATCCACTGGAAGACATTTTGGTGAATGGGACTTTAGATTCATTATGAATAAGAATTTTGTATACCATACATAGAAATACACGATCGTTTGTAATTCTATTTTTCTGCTTTACTCCAAAACATTGAACATATTGAAAACCAGAGTAGTCTAAGTCAAAATATTAACAAAAATATACAAATTTCGGGTGCTGACTCTTTGTTCCGCTGGAATTGTTTAAGTTTAAGCTTTTTTTATTGAAAATCATCCTAATCATAGTCAGTCTCTATGTTCCCATTTAACGCCAACATGTTAACTTTAAGTCATAGTTTCCAGAATACCAGGATTTCTGACTTAGAACCACTCTGGTTTTCAACGGTTGATATTTGGGTTGATGTTTTAACTAAGTTGTAATCTCAAATCGGATTACAATTGTAGTTCATTTCTATATTTGTTTTGAGATAATACAAGAGCATAAAATCCCTTTTGACCGAGGTATGTGGATGATAATGGCAGTAAATGTTTTAGTGCATCTTCTGATATTTCTTTGTAAACTGTTTTTATATTCAGCAAATTTTTTAAAATTTTGCAAATTTCCTCGAGCACCATTTATAGATTCGGCTCCCGAATTTTAGTCTTCGATAATTTGATTGAAAACTGTAATTAACTCATTCCATTTTAAATTAAAAACGTATACAATTTAGTTTCACAGTTTGTTGGCATAGTTCGATTTAGAATTGAATTCAGAATAAATGTTCGTTTTAGGCGAATGATTAAAAAAGCAAAAATTGATGTAACCGTTGCAAAAAATATCCTACAATTTCTAAAATATTTTGAGCTGTTTTGCAAAACTAAATTTAATCTATGAGCGCAACAATGTGTGAAAAAAGCTTTTTGAGTATCTACTTTAATTTTTGATTACAATCCATTTTAAAAGCCGGCCATTACACTTGCACCGTGATAACATTGAGCAATCAAGTTAGTTTTGTAATCATATGGCTCAAGAATGTTTAATATATATATGTATATCCGAATCATGGTGTAATGACAACAATATAAATTCTTTTTATCTTCCTGATTATCTCTTAGGTTTGTACTATAATCGAAGTGTTCATATACATGGTGGTGTACTTTTATTTGTAAAGGTTAATTTTAAATTTAATATTCCAAGTTTTCTTACGAACATTTGTTAAGATTTTAACTTCGAGTGTTGTTGTATTAGTTTTAGTTGTGACTTAAAAAAGTGTTGTTTACTCAATGTGTATCACTCCCCTAATGGCGATATTGATATTTTTATACATAAATTATATCATGTATTTAATATTTGTTACGTTAAATATGATTGTATTATTCTTTGTGGTGATCTTAACATCGATTGTCTTAAACAGTCAAGGGAAAAATCTATATTGATGGATTTATTTTAGTTTAAATATATCTGAGAGTAACAATACTGCCACATCCCAGATAGCCTCTTATAGAAACTTGTCAAAGAATTGTTTGTCTAATCTTTTGTTGAGTCTTGATTCTGAGAATTTCGAAAATGTTTATACATATTCAAATGATGTAGATGATGCATATAGAGCTTTTTTGAACTCTGTCGCCTATCATATTGATACAACATGTCGTTTACTGTCAAAGCGCATAACTATTAATACCAACAGAAAATGGATCAATACTGAAATTCTTCAGCTTAGTAAAAAACTAAAAGATTTATTTTTGCTAGCAAATTTTAGTGGTAATGCAGATTTAATGTTTATCTATAAAATACAAAACTTTATCCGTAAAGTAAAGGACACAAAAAAGCCTCATATCAAAGTTATTTATATAATAACAATAATAATAAAAGAAGGAAGGAGATATGGAAAACTGTGAATCGTCAAACTGGTAAAAATAAAATCAATCTTGAGTGGAGTACTACTGATAATAATAAATTATTGATACATCCTGAACAGATAGCAAACAAATTTGGTGAGTATTTTTGTACATCAGTCAAACACACATTATTAAAACATTTCAATAACTATACCTTTAACGATTCCACAACTATAACAATTTTTTTTCTGAGGTTTGAAATTGAGAATGTTATATCTTCCTTAAACTATACCAGCTCACTAGGTATTGACCAAATCTCCACTAAAATAATTAAATACATTTCTCTATATACATCTCCTGTTCTGTCTCACATCATCAACCTATCTGTCAAGGATGGCAAGTTTCCAAGTGACCTTAAAACGGGAGTAGTTAGTCCAATTTTCAAAAAGAGAGATCCATGTTTGGTTGATAAATACAGGCCAATCACTGTAACAAGTGCACTCTCTAAGATTATCGAAAAGTGTATTTACAATAAAATGTTAAATTTTCTGGATAAATATGATATCTTAAATAAATTCCAGCATGGGTTTCTTCCCAATTAATCTACAGAGAGTGCTTCTATTTCATTATTTAATTATATTCACGCTGCTTTGGATCGAAAAAGGTATGTGAGTGCACTATTTTTTGACATTACGAAGGCTTCTGACTCTATTGACATTGAAATTATACTGCATACATTAGAAGCCCTTGGTTTGCGGCGTCATATCTTGAACTGGTTAAGGTCATACTTACAACAACGTAAATTCCTAGTAAAAATCGATAATAAGAAGTCATCTGTTTTTAATCTTGATCAAGATGTACCGCAAGGCTCCGTATTGGGACCCTTAATATTTCTTTTATACGTCAATGATTTGATAAATTTTTTAACTGCAGATCATACAGTTCTCTATGCAGATAATTCAACAATCGTAGTTGACACGTCAACTAAAGTCGAACTCATATCAAAAATGAACTTGGTAGCACAGGAATTTACAACCTGGTGTAAAAGGAACTCTTAAATGGTAAATGCAAAGAAAACTATTTGTATGCAGTTCTACTCACGCTGCAAGCCATCCCATGATTATAAGATCACAATTAGTTCTGGGGAAATACCTTTTAGTGATACAGCATTATTTCTTGGTAGTATTATAGAAAGTAATATGAAATGGGATGAAAATGTTACTAAAGTCTGCAAAACAATGAGTAAGTGTTGCTATGCGATCCTTCAGTTGAAAACTCTATTTAATACCAATCAATTGATAAGTGTGTACTATGCATTGGTTTATTCATATATAGCCTATAATGTTGTCTTGTGGGTAAACTCTAGGAACTCTTCTAGAGTTTTTATAACTCAAAAGAGAATTCTTAGATTGATATTCAATATTGATAAATAGACAATCATGTCATAAATATTTTATTGAACACAGAATGTTGACTTTCCATGCTTTATATATTTGAAAACTCTATTTAATACTAATCAATTGATAAGTGTGTACTATGCATTGGTTTATTCATATATGACCTATAATGTTGTCTTGTGGGGAAACTCTAGGAACTCTTCTAGAGTTTTTATAACTCAAAAGAGAATTCTTAGATTGATATTCAATATTGATAATAGACAGTCATGTCGTAAATATTTTATTGAGCAGAGACTGTTGACTTTCCATGCTTTATATATTTATAAGTATATTATTTACGTCAAAACTAAATTTCAAAATTTTACCCACAACTCTGACTTTCATAATTACCCGACAAGACACGGGAGGTTGATAAGTGTGTGTAAACACTCCGCAACTCTTTTTGAAACTAGTCCTGATTTTGCAGGATCTAAATTTTACAATTGTTTGCCACTTAATATGAGAAATGAAAATAATATTGAAAAATTCAAAAATAAATTAATATCATGCTGATCCAATTATGAGTTTACAACCTAAATGATTATTTTGATTTAATAAAAGACTACAGATAATGAGGACCCACGGGGTTCAGAGACGCTCTATATTGCATATCTTTTTTATATTAATCTATATTTTGTTGATTATGTTTTATGTAACTATATGACTTGTCCTATATCACAATTTGATCTCATTGCATTAATAAAGAATATTCTATTCTATTCTATCAAAAACACCAAAATCTTTTTGTTATCTGACCAATTTTGTTAACAAAACGGATTGTTAAAGTACAGTGTGATTTTTAGGTAATATCAGTAGTATCGTCCGCTAGTATAGAAAAAAAAGAGTTTCATTAATTTCTCTTGAAATTTCATTTTTGATGTAATCAGCAAAACAATCCCGTGAACACCCCTTTTATTTTTTTAATATATTGCTGGATTTCTTGATCGCGTTTAACTGCAAAATTAAAAATTTCATTTAAATTACACATATTTGAAAAATTATGGCTCTCATCCCTATCGCAAATGCAAGTTCTTATTTTGTTAAAATAATCGTAACATCAATTAAATATGATAATAATTAAATCTATTTTTTCTAACTTCTTTATTATATAACTTATTGGATAAAGTAGTATGTCCAGCTAAAGCACTGTCAATAGTTTGCTTATTATAACCTTTTTAAACCAAAGTAATTGTTTAAATGTTTTTTTTTCGAAAATTCATGCTTTTTGACACTAGCTGATAAATTTTTCAAATTTGAATATTCCTGACTCACCCAAAGATTTTACTCCAAATTTGAAAGCCAACAAAAAAGTGAATTTCTAAAATAACTACCGCATAACCATTTATGGTTTTTATACCATATTGTTTTAAACGATCTCGAAAATGGTCAATTATCCTTCTTATCGGTAGATAAAATTTGTAAATTTGACAAAGGCCAGGCCATTACAATAATTTCTAATCTTTCTTGATTTCGGCGACTTGAAAAATGCATTTCAATCAAACTGCATATTATAATATTGTTTAAAATATTCATAGCCCCAAACCCGAATTAAGCCAAAGGCGGACGATTTCATCGCCTGTTAAAAGAAGATATTCACTGACTAGCCGTGCTGCTCGGGTTGCTCCTGCCTAAGCATAATGCAAAGAGAAATATAAACGTTTATCTACTCTTAATTTCAACTTTTACATTTTAAATCTCAATTTCGACTTTTTGTAAATATAATAGATTTCAATCAGAGGAGCGATATGGTTTATTTCAATAAAATAATTTATAAAATGCAACGTAGATATATTGGATTATAGAGAATTCTTTATAAACACAAAATATATCTTACTGAACAATCAGCTTGCGATGATTGGACACATCCTGAGTCATCATTTCTGATACAGCATGCGGTCTCTCTTTCTTTAGCCTGGATTTTATCTATTTCCTTTTTTATTTTATTGTCGATTCTCATACAAGGCGCGAACTTCGCTCCCAAATGAATAAGGTCACCAGCTCTAGGTCCCAACCTAAAACGACAAACAATATAATTAATATAGAAGCAACAGTGATGCACACAAATTATTATAAAAAGGAAGACGAATTATTTATGAAGGGCAAATAAAAATTTTAATTTAATAACTAAAAGTTTGTTTCTAAATTTTATATTCCTCACAAAGGTTTTCCATTATATTCTTATATTTTCTTCTACACGAATGGCGAGAAGCGTGTCACCATTTTTTAACATATATAGCGAGGTAATCTTTGAAGAAGGCTTGAACTCGCAAAGAGATGTAATCATAATCAATGTTAAAGTGATGATCAAGATTCGTTATCCTTATAAGAACAGTAGAACTCTCAAAGATTGGTCAACTGTAAAAACAGTTTCTGTAATATACATTAATAAATATATAAATTAACGTTAACAAGGCAAAGCATCCAGTTTAAAAAACGCAAAATGTACCATCAACGTATCACTCAAATAAGAACAGTAGAACACTATACATATTTGTGGGGACTTAAATATCACACAAAATTGACCAAACAAGAGAGAAACGTTTTCAATAAAATGGTAAAGTTTCTTATCAGCACGGTGCTTTCAAAGTAACAGAGAACAAGACCACTTGGGTAAAATTGTATATATTGCTGTATGGCATATTGCTGTATGGAATAAAAAATAACATACTTAAATCAATAAGAATATACAGTGTGACCTATTTACATTGGAAACACCTCTCTAAAATTTAAAGTTGTTAACCAATTTTGTTTTTCATATCATGATCTACTTTGAGACATCCTTTAAAATGTTAATGATGCTACTGGATTTAGGATTTAGACTGGATTTAAAGAGCTATGGCAAACATTTCATTAAAATATATTTATTTAACAAAGTTATGACAACTTAAAATTTTCACTAAGCTACCAGTAACCAAAGAGTACCTTGTTTTAATAGATAACCATAAAAATAATTGTTTTTAAACCATAATAATGAATCATATAAATTTTACAAAATTTGTTGTTTAGCGACGAAGCTACTTTCACTACAAAAGCAGTAGCACTGTCACAAAATTGACACTATTGGACAGAAGAAATTTATTGGGTAATAAACAGTAAAAATCAGTACCTATTCTATAAAAATTTTCATGAGTTTCCACTCAATGATTAAATTTGTTTATCAAGTTAGATGTGTGTTCTGTTCATTTTCATGGCAACTAAGATTTAAGTTAAAATACAGTCCCTCTCTCTCTATAACGATATGCAAGGGACCGCGAATTTTCATCGTTATACAGAGAGAGACACAATTCGGTACTATAATATAAATAAAACTTTACTAAAAAACCTATTTTAATTTAAAAAAATTATCAAAACGAATATAAATGAATTAAGACTGTATTGTATACCACATAGATTTAATAAAGAATAATATAAACAACACAGTATAAAAAAATGACTGTACAATTAAAACATGTGTACTGTATAATAACAAAATAATATGCCACTGTAAAATATATTTAGCTTACATTACCAAAAAAGTCTGTCACCTTGGTCTGTTTCCCCTTTCCTTTCCACAGAACTGACCTGACCTTGTCCTAAAGACGCATAGAATCTTCCACAGCACCCACATCGTCTTCCTGGTGGATGAAAAATCGATGCAATACTTTTGCTGCAAGCCATTCCTCCTCCTGTAATGGCTTTGCAAACTCTTGATGACACTTTGGTCCATGGGCTGAAAACCACTCGTTGTGTTTGCTGGCAGAAAATAAAGTTCAATATTTTGAAGGTCGCACAGTACAGGAGCAGGACAATTGTCTACAAGCAGAACATTTTTTTACCTTTAAGCTCGATATCCTACCTTTCTTATCGCTTCTTCAAAAAATTTCAAAGTCATTCACGCACTCTTGTTTGCTTTAAGGTCAACGGTAGATTTACTCACCGGTTTGCTTTTATGTTTTTAAAGTAACGTGGGTTTCTCGACTTCCCCATCACTAATAATTTTCGCTTCACCAAACCTGTCATGTTAGCGGCCACTAAAACTGTAATTCGTTCCTTAGAGAACTTTCCACCAACGCACTTTTCCGATATAAATTTTAAAGTTCTGTTTGGTGTCATTTTAAAAAACAATCCAGTCTCATCAACAATGAAAATGTCGTGTGACGCATATCGTGCCTTCAGTACCGGCCACACGTTTTCTAGCCAATCATCCGTTACATTTTTGTTAACATCGCGAGCCTTTCCGCTTATTTGCCTGTAGTTGATGTTGTGAAGCAGCTTCCTTAGCTCAGCCAACCCTCAGATGCCCTTAAATGCTCACTTCCAAGCTCAGTGTTAAAAAACTCATTCCGTAAGGGCAAAACAAAACAACCGCTGGACAATGACCTTGCCACTCGTGACTAAAGTAATCTGAACTTTAAACACAAAACACATTTGTCATCGACTATTGAACGCTGAAAAATATCGTCGCTATAAAGAGAGAACGATATCGGTATGGAGAAAGAATTAATGCATTGTCCTTATGACGAACCAACCAACGTTTACTACTGTTGTTTACTACAACCAAATTAGTATTAGGTTTTAAGTTGCAATAACTTGATTATTTAAAAATATATTTTAATGAAGTTTTTGACATAACTCATTGATTTAAATCCAGTGGGCTAGAAATTGTTTCAATACAAAATTAATATAAAACTTCTTGATTTTCAATCTAAATGGATCACTCTGTATAAACCGGTTAAAGTAATTTCATATTTACACATAACACATAAAAACAGTGTTTTTAGAGAGATCAGACAGTAGAAGATCAGTAGGAAAAAAATGAGGATGATGTTGAAGCTGATTAATCTAAGATTGGAGTACAACAATGGGAAATGGAGGCGCAAGATCGTAGAAGATGGAGGGCTATACTGGATGCGGCAAAGACTCACCCTAAAGCCAGTCAAGAAACAGAGAGAAATGGGAAAGGCGCGCGAAAGGGAAGGCAACTATTAAAACAAGAAAATTTTAATAATTGGCACCTTTGATGAGGAGCAAGATATAATAAAGATTATAATTAAGCAAAGCTACGAAATTTGCGAGAGTGGTACCAATGTTGTCCAAAAGAACAGTAGTGAATAAAATAAAAATAATCAAAGTGCTATCTAAAGACTGTTAGCAGACAGCATATGAAGATAATACGATTAATAGCGCGCTATGTACTGGCGTTGTTATAAAGAATGTCACATGCATATATGTGGTGAAAAGTAGCTTAAATAAAAGAGGGGTTTTACAGGGCATTCTTGAAATTATACAGTTGTCTGTGTATGCGATAAACATTGAAGAAACAATTAAAGTCTTAAAACTTGGTACAGAGGTTCCTTTCAGAAGAAAGAACACTACTACGGGATAATAGGTCAGACGTCACCAGTTGCGCATAATTTCGAATAAGGAGGACGTAACGTCTTAAAAGTTGGTGTATGGGTTTTTAAGGACATATATGGTGATGACATATGGACATGATGGTCCGATAACATGCAATTAAATCAGATCTGCAGATATGGAAATTGATAGTATTCTATAAGTTAAAACAAAAATGTTCGTGCTTAATTCGCTACCGGATTCTTCGATACTCCATTAAATTGATCATTAACTTAACTTATTCAATATTAAAAGTTGGCGCATTAACTAACGAGGTGCAATAAAGACAACTTACCAAAAGTTTGCAGGTTCCATATAGTCCACTTGTTGTAAAGACAAACTAGTCACTAAAACTTGTCCCGATCTTGACTGAAGGTCAACTCCAAAAGGTCCAACTCCGTAACAAATAATAGAAATGAACAGTACTAAAATCTGCACAGTGGTCACCCAATAAGTGAACATCGGTCGGTGGTCCTCCATGTCATCAAGTTGTTCTCGAATCTTATCGTCTTGTGTTACCGATTTTCTGAAGGAACGCCTAAAAAAAATCAATATAAGTTTTTGAAACGTACATGACATGAGCAAATTTTTTCTATCACTACTGTTATTTATGTATGTTCTCATTGCAGATAAAAATGAAGGTCACATAAAAGCCTCGTACAGTTATATAAATCCAGTGATGTAGGGAAGTACAAGCTGGATAAAACAAATAACAGAGACATAACAATATGAATGGGAGATTTTAACGTTGAACTAAAAGAACGAAAAATCAAAGATGTTGTTGATAGATTCAGACTGAGAATAGTGAATCAAAATGGAAGACAAATTGATGGATTGTCAAGGATTTGATGTGATAATTACCTGCGAGCGTAAAAATAAGATTATAACTCATTACACTATAAACACCATACATAAAAAATAATAACATTAAAAAAAGTGAAAATACTATTATACATTTAAATTAAAATTTTTAAGTTGGCTACTAAAAATGCTTATAATACCAGACTGGATCCAGTTTGGTCAGCATTACAAAAGCAAAATATCCTTTTCAAATGACAGTGACATGCACAGTCAATTTAGAAAAATCTTATTTTTATCACTTAATTGTTAATAATTAAAAAAAAAATAAAGGAATTTATTTATTTAGGAGATATAAATGCTAGAGTAGAAAAAGGAGTAGCAAAATTGAACAATATTATAGGACCATACAAAAATCAACAATAATGGGAAACTATTACTTGAATTCTGTTAAGACAATAACATCAAGATTTTTTACAATCTGTTTCACAATAAAAACAATAAGCAAAATTGTTTGTCTTTACAATGTCAGAGAGATCTAAGGTTCAGTGACCATAGCATCATAACACAAATATTAGCTTGTTTACCGGTGGGATGCGCATGTATACAGATACGCGAACACGAATACTAAAAGCGGCACAGTTCACAACGGCTGGGCGCTGTTGAAGACATAGGCCTTTCACTACTGTAGGCACTGTCAGGAACGGTATGGTAGTTCCAAGGGATCATACCGCTTCATTCTCTTTGCTTGTTGGTTGTGGAGAAGATTGTATGCCGGGGTGTTAGGATGCACGCGCAACCTGTTTTGATATTGTTCATAAATTCTTTTGCACTCTTCAGACTGTTAGTACTTGCATATCTCTATGTAAAGCGTCAGTCTAGATATATTAAGGGACATTATAGATTGTTCTTTTCTTGTGAGTGATTGTTCTTCTGAATTTTATATTGAAATCTAGACAATAACATAAAGATCATGAATACACATTTCCAACACAAAAAGATACATAAGATCACAAGAGAAGTCATATCAAGAAACGAATAAATTATTGACTATATTATAGTGCAAAAAACAGAGAGAAGCTGGATAAGAGACGTAAGAGTTATAAGAAGTTATTAAATAGACAGTTATCATTACTTACTGGAAACTACATTTAACAGCAAAGAGAGCCTGTAAGGGGGGGAAAATGTGGAGGAATTGTAGACAAAATGTAGAAACATACTAACTGAGAAGGCATCGGAAATATTGGGGAAACCCAAACCAGTTACACAAAACGAATGGTTTTGTCTAACTGGTTTTGAAGCTAGATGCACAAGAAGAGCAAAGGAGAATTACCGGACCCTAAGAAGGGAGGAAAAAAGATTACATAGAAGAAAAAAAAAAGGCAATTTGAAGAAAAACAGTTAGAATACATATAATGTCTAAGAAATCAAAACAAAAGTCGAAAGTTCTACAGAAATGTAAACAACATGAGTAAAGAGTTTAAGTCAAGAATAGGGAGCTGTAAGGATGGAGAAGGAAATATCCTAAGTGATACGACCTCAATCTTGAACCGATGGGTTGAATTTTTCGACGAAAAATTTAACGGCCATTATATCGAAGAAGCAGATAACACCGTGGAAGTTCGAAATCATTGGAATCTATTTAACCCAAATAAAAGACCACTTACCACTGAAGAGGTTGCCCAAGCCATTAAAAAGCTTAAAGGTGCATAAAGCACTAGGAACTGATCAAATTTGTAGTGAGCTCTACAAGAATGATGGCGACGCCCTGTTACAAGCACTGCATAAACTTTTACTTCTTGTCTCGCAAAATGAGACCATGCCTTGTGAATGGTCTCAAGGTGTGATATACCCGTTGGATAAAAAAGGCGATCATCTCCAGTGTGACAACTACAGAGCCTGTAGTATAACCCTTTTAAAAACTGCTTACAAAATACTATCAAATATTCTCTACGAAAGGCTACAAGTATACCCAGTTGGCAAAGATGGAAAATACCAGGACGGATTCAATCCAGAAAACAATCAACAAATGCGACTTCAAGGCCGCATATGACAGTGTCAAGAGAACAGTACTATACCAATCAATGCGTGAGTTTGGTATACCAGAAAAACTTATCCTATTAACGGGAATGACAATATCTAACTAAAAAGTAAGCGTTAGGATACAGAGAGAATATTCCCGATCCTTTGAGATAAAGGATGAACTCAGACAAAGAGATATTCTGGGTTGCCTCATATATAATATTGCCTCGGAAAAGGCAGTCCGAGACACATGAATTAGAGGACGTATCAAGCGAGATATTTAGCAATATTTCCTAGAATTGGAAACGACGGAGAAACAGGTTGGTTTAGTCATCAACGAAGACAAAACCTAGTACATGTTGGTTAAAGAGCATTTAGAAGTCATATCTTTGAACGCGTCGACAGCTTCACATACCTTGGCTCGTTAGTGACTACTACCAATTAAATAAGCGAAGCAATTAAAAGAAAAATAAACCTTACAAATAGGACATACTATGGACTCCAAAACTAATTTCACTTAAGAAATATCCAAAGAAAAACTAAAATTATTAGATACAAAACACTGCTGAGTCCTGTCCTCACATACAGGGCGGAAACATGGACTCTAACACAAATGGATGAAAGGCTTCTGGGAATATTCGAGCGTAAGATACTCCGCAAAATATTTGGACCTATAAACGATGAAGAGCAGTGGCGCAAAAGATTTAATTTCAAATTTTACCAACTCTTTAATGAACCAGATGTCGTAACGTTCATTAAAACACAGCGACTTAGATTGGCCGGACACATAATACGAATGCCTGATAACGTAATTGCTAAAAAGGTAACGACAGAAACACCTATAGGGAGAAGAAGCAGAGGCCGACCGCGAATTAGGTGGTTAGATGGAGTTAAGATCGACTTGGGGATACTAGAGATCAGAAGATGGCAACACGATGCCAGAAATCGAACAGAATGGCGACTAATCTTAGAGCAGGCCATGAGCCACAGAGGATTGTCGAGCCAAAGATGATGATGAACTAACAGTGAAAATCAGATATAAGGAGAAGTTAAAGAAGAAAATGGACAAAGAAGGAGAAAAGTAGAAGAAGAAGAATAGATTTAAAAATGTTATGATACATACAGCAAAACTAGTATGTGGGACCACAAGAAATAATTGGAAAGAGAAACGGACACCATGGTGGAATAGGCGCAGCTAGACTCACCCCTTGACTCCTATGTTTTTACCCTAAGATGATAAAAAGGTGTAGGTAACAAAGTCAGAGGTTAGGTCTGAAGAAAAAAGTCATTTGAAAGGCAGATGGGGGCAGTATTGGAAGAACGGGAATTGATGAATAGTAACAGCTAATGAAAGAAAGTAAAAAAATTATAACTGATTTTTCTTTTGGTTTTTCTATTGACAGTTTCAATTTCATACTAAATCAATTTTGAAACTTCCTCTTAATAATTCCACACTTTTAATTAAATGTTAATCTGTATATGCAAAAATATAACCCTATGCTAAACCATTCGTTGATTAATGATCAACAAAAGCAACAGGAGTTTACACTTTGTAAATTGTCTGCGCCCGTTTTAAGTAGAAGTTGTAATTTAATCCAATCTTTTTCCTACCAATTAACCTAGAAATGCGGGCACTATTTAAATTTTCTTTGATAAACAACTGTCGAGATATTGTTAGAGAATACACAAAAATTAATTAAAAGAAAATCCCACTTCCTAGTTGTTAATAGACAAAAGATTTTAAGTCTCTTATTTTTCATACTAATTATTTTTTTGATTAAAAGCAAAAAAATAATATAGAATGGAAAAAGGATATGAGATAAGCAAAAACTATATACTATTGTAGGGAGATCTTAATTTGATGAACTAAGGAGATATTAAAGCTTCTGCTTAGTGTAATATGGCCCGACTGGCCCAATTTTCTTGTTACATCAATATCTAATTAACAGTTTTGAAACTGTTGTCTTGTTGAATGATTCAGATAAATATTGTATTTGTATGGGATATTAATCCGAGGGTAACACATTAACCCCATAATTTCAACTGAAAAAATGTCTATTTTGCCTACGAGATCAAGGATAAGTATTTCATCTGTCAAATTGGATGCTACAAAGCGTTATTTAATAAGTAAAAAATAAATTAATAGGTTAAAATCATTTTTATTTATGACAATTTTTTGAAAACCATCTCCGGATTGGAAATCGAAACGTCAAAAACAAATGTAAAATGCAATTTTCATTACAATCAATGTGGCTTAATCTCATACAAACACAATGTTTAAGTGAACATTATTGATGATACAATGATTTCTCTATTTTAAAAGAATATCTTAATAGTTTCCTGAATATATCCATATACTTTTTATAATCTATTGATGTTATTCTTTGGAAATAATTTTAATTGTGTTTGGCATTCTTTTGTTCCTCTTTATTCATTTACACTGCTGTTATGACATTTTGGTTTTTAAAGATACCTTTGTTTTTTTTTTTCTAATTCGACGAATCAATCTATGTTTATTTTTATGTAGATATTACAGGTATTGCAGAAATAATTAAGATTTTTTGTGGATGGAATATATCAACTGTAATCAGACTTTAGCCATCAACATATCTGAAAACATTTAATTCTTTGATATTAATAGAGACTAACTTCATTTAACTGCTAAGTTAGAAAATACAACAGATAACAGAAAAGAAGAATAGACGAGATCCAACAATT